GTATTTTATGACTGCAGTATAACCTAGATGGTTATTTTATGGGGGTAGATGAGTATTTTATGACTGCAGTATAACCTAGATGGTTATTTTATGGGGGTAGATAGGTATTTTATGACTACAGTATTACGTAGATGAGTATTTTATGGCTACAGTTTAGGGTAAATGAGTTTTTTATGGGGGTAGATAGATATTTTTATAGCTTCAATATGGGGAAGATGTTTTTGTTATAGGGGAAGATGGGTATTTTATGGTCACAGTATAGGGTAGATGTTTTTTTATGGGGGGTAGATAGGTATTTAATGGCTTCAGTATATATATTGCGTAGATGGTTATTTTGTAGGGTAGATGAGTATTTAAGGCTACAGTATAAGTTTATTTTATGGGAGTAGATGAGTATATTATGGGTACAGTATTTCAACATATTTTATTGGACAAAATAATTGCACAATTGGATGAGACAACAGGCTTAGCCTATACAAGTCTGGGTACAGTATAGGGTATATAGATGAGTATTTAATGGCTACAGTATATGCATGGTAGAAAAGTATTTTATGGCTATATTATAGGGTAGATGGTTATTTTATAGGGGGTAGATTGGTATATAATGGCTAAAGTATAGGGTATAGGGTGGATGAGTATTTTATCGCTACAGTTTAGGGTAAATGAGTATTTTATGGCTACGCTATAGGGTAGATAGTTATTTTTCTGGAGGTAGATAGGTATTTTAAGGCTTCAGTATAGGGTAGATGGTTATTTTATTTTATTCTATAGCTATACATTTTAAGGTAGATTGGTTATTGTTGTCTAAATAGAGATAGGTATTTATTTGCAACAGTTGTTATGAAGAAATATTAAAATTGTACAATTATTCTACATGATATTCCTTTTGTGGATGGGGGGATTGATCGATCGACAGACCAAAAAGATAAACAATCTGGTTCCAGCACACACACTCTCATTTAATTGTTGAGGTCATTGTAATCATGTATCAACACGATTTACCTATAACTGTTTTTGATAGTGCTTTAATTTCAATCAATATGTTTCATGTAACCAACGTATAACTTAATTTCAACATATTTCATGGATCCAAGTCATGTATCAACAGCAATTATAGATAACATATTAAAGAAATGCTCATCATTTTAACATTTATTTCACAACAATCAACATGGATGACAATCATGATTTAACAGAAACAAATCATCATAATAAATAATAAATATAACGTACACCAGTTTTATCATCCTTTTCATCACCTATACCCTCATAACCCTCCTCTTCCTCAAATCATCATCAAAATCATCCAAAATATAACATAATAAAATGAATAGGTTCAAGAAAGATGTTGCCTTTTTTTTTAACACCAAATTGATACATTAATGTAATTATAAAACGTTTCAAAATGGTCTGCTTTGTATAAGTACTTGATCAAATATTTGATATGTATAAAAAATGCTTGTTATTTTATCAATTTTATGAATGAATGTATATGTATATTGAATAAGCACTTACCTTTGGAGACAGCCATGATTGGTAACTCTCAGTCTCCCACTTTAAGGCGAGAAAGCTGGGCAAGATGTGGCATGTGCTACCCTATAGCATATTAGCAATTAAATACCTATATATCCCCATAAAATAACCATCTACCCTATACTGTAGCCATTAAATACCTATCTACCCCAATAAAATACTCATCTACTCTATACTGTAGTCATTTTATACCTATTTACACCCATAAAATACTCATCTACCCTATACTGTAGTCATATTATACCTATCTACCCCCATAAAATACTTATCTACCCTATACTGTAGCCATTTAATACCTATATATCCCCATAAAATAACCATTTACCCTATAGCATAGCCATTAAATACCTATATATCCACATAAAATAACCATCTAGGTTATACTGTAGTCATAAATACTCATCTACCCTATACTGTTGCCATTAAATACCTATCTACACCCATAAAATAACCATCTACCCTATACTGTAGCCATTTAATACCTATATATCCCCATAAAATAACCATTTACCCTATAGCATAGCCATTAAATACCTATATATCCCCATAAAATAACCATCTACTCTATACTGTAGTCATATAGTATCTATCTACCCCCATAAAATACTTATCTACCCTATACTGTAGTCATATTATACCTATATACACCCATAAAATACTCATCAACCCTAAACTGTTGCCATTAAATACCTATCTACCGTACACCCATAAAATATTCATCTACCCTAAACTGTTGCCATTAAATACCTATCTACCCCCATTAAATACCCATCTACCCCCATAAAATAAGCATCTACCATATAGCATATCCATTACATACCTATCTACCCCCCATAAAATAACCATCTACCCTATACTGTAACCATTAAATACCCATCTACCCCCATAAAATAACCAATCACCCTATAGCATAGCCATTAAATACCTATCTATCCCCATAAAATACCCATCTACCCTATACTGTAACCATTAAATACCCATATACCCCCATAAAGTAACCATCTACCCTATACTATAGCCATAAAATACCCATCTACCCTATTTATATACTGTAACCATTAAATACCTATCTACCACCTTTGGGTCACTCTGCAAGAAGGTTGCAATCTCACCATAAAAATCAACTTCCATGTTGCACCTTTGCTGGATCAAGCATGTATGGTGACGTCCAAGTGACCAAGTAATATGTACATGTATACCTGACCAGCCACATTATAGACTTCTAATTACAAAAACAACATATCTGTCAAATTCTCCATCACTGCCCATTCAGTGACCATCATCCCATTCACTAGGTGTTATCCAGTCAATTGTATCAATAATTGTCAACCATAGTTCAGGCATGGTAAGTCTAATCTAGTACACAAGGTTTAATGAGCTCATTAATAGTGAAATAATTAGGGTGTTGTTTTTAGAAAGTTATTGTATATTGTGAAAATATGAATATCAGAAAAAAAGTTGCTTTTACAATTAAAAAATGACAAAGACAATGTAACAATTTAAAAAAAAAACTGACATTTATATGTACATATAAATATGTTAGCATAATATTTCCATGAGTTGCATTAAAAAGATGAGCGTAGAAAATTGTACAACTGATTTTGTTCATAATTTGTTGTGGGGTTGGGGGGAATGTCAGAACTCAACTATATTATCAAGAAAAATACAAAATAACATTCTCTTTTCCAATAACACTTAAAATACTGTACTGTATAAATCAAGTTCCTTAGCCAATTGTATAATTGAACTGTGTTTATTTACTTTTTTTTGGTTGGGGAAGAGGTCGATATATTAAAATGTCAGAAATCAACTGTGATATCAAGAAAATTTAAACATAACACTTCTTTTCAGAATACACTCTACAAAATTCAGCATTCAGAGTACCAATGCAAGTTCCATTATTATAACCTTTTGTGAATTATTAAAACTTAAGATTTTAATGGTTTTTAAACTTCAGTGTATTTCTTTGTTTTAACTATCATTCATTATAAGGCTGTTTATTTTCCTGTGTAAAGCTGAGCCACACCTGTGTGTTGGTCACCATGCAGTGTCACCTATCTCTCACCTGTATTGATAAGCCCCCAGGGTCCCAGTCCCCACACAGGTGACACGCTGTGTATTATAATGACCTGGATAGACAGATAAGAACCTTGTATTACAGGTAACATGATGTAATAATGCTATAAAGTTTGTATTTATGTAAAAA